TTTTAAAAAATTGTCTTGTCTGAGCTCATAATGTGTTCTATTAAATAAAATAACACTGGATTTAAAATTTTTTTGAACAAAAAATAGTACACAAGAACCTTGAACATGTAAAAAAAAGTTTTTTAGAATAGGTTACTCTGGTACGCCAAAAAGCAAAATTATATAAAAGTTTCAAAAATAGTTTTTGTTTTGTATGTAAGTGCATTTTTTTTTAATGATAAATTTTTTTAGTATGTCTTTATGAAAAAATTATGATTTTTGAAATTTTTCTATAATTTCGCTTTTTTGAGTATCAGGTTGGCATACTTTTAAAGAACTTATTTGTTATTATTGGTTGTTACCATTTGTTAACAATAAAACTTGGTACCTTTTATATATTATTTTTGAATGCATGGTTGACAAAGTCATACCTTGTATTTTGAATTTTTGCACTAATACTATTCACTATTTTGACATGCCCAAACATTGCTCAAAACATTACAGCACTTTTTACACTTGACCTTTGGCCTATATGTATGCCTTCAGCAGTTTTACATTAAGCAAAATCTTTTTTAATTTTGAAATCTTTTTTTTTTTTTTTTAAATATCTTCGCTTCCAACAAGGCTGCAAGCAACCACTAATTAGTGTTGAAAGTTACTGGAAGATAAAATATGAAGATTTTAGAGCAAGATAACGATTGATAGATGACTTAAAAGATTGCAAATTATATGAATCAGGAAAGCAAGATGAAGGAATCTAATTCCAAAGAACTGATGTTCGAGGAAAAAAACTAGACGAATAAGAGTTTTTGGAGCACTTAGGAACAGTAATAGAAATATACAGGATGAGACTTAATTGAATGACAAGAAACACGAGAGTGAATTTTAGTAGATGGCACAATAGATGTTAGGTCTTTAGAGCAGTGCCCATTATAGTATTTGTAGAAAAGAGAAAGAGAAGCAACATTATGATAATATGACAGAGGTTGAAGGTTGGCTGCAAGAGCAGGTTCAACTATGTTTGAAATGCGTTTTTGCACCTTGTCTAAAAGAGAAAGGGCATCATTAGAAGATCCGCCCTAGATATGGCAACAGTATTCCATACAAGGACAGATTTGAGATTTATAGAGATAAAGAATAGAATCCAGAGTAAGAAAGTGTCGAGCTCGATAAAGAGATGCAACTTTAGCAGATGCTAATTTTCCAACTGATTTAATATATGGTTTCCAAGAAAGATCAGGAGTAAGAGTTAATCCTAGAAGATGAAGGGTAGATGACTCATCAAGTACATTACCTTTCATAAATATAGGAAGATCTAAATTATTGCGATAATGATTGACTGAAAAAAATTGAGTTTTATCTGAATTATAGTTCACCAACCACTGTGAGCTTTTTAAGCTCAAATGCCCCTCCAAGCAATCAGAGAGAGAGTTGGCTTTTTATCATAACAAAAATAAATGGTAGTATCATCAGCGAACAATGCCACTTTAGATGTGAGAATATCTGGAAGATCGTTAATGTAAGTTTAAAAGAGTATAGGGCCAAGGATTGAACCTTGAGGAACCCCTGAGGTTACAGAATTAAAAGAAGAGTGCTGTCCATCAAGGACAACTTTTATACTACGATTGGAAAGGAAGGATTCAATGATCTTAAGGATGTTTCCAGATACACCATTAATTGATAGCTTATGGAGAAGACCAGCATGCCAAATTTTATCAAACGCTTTAGAAATGTCAAGAGCAATGGCTTTAACCTCTCCGCCTTTATCTAATGCACGATAAAACCTATTCGTTATTACTGTTAGCAAATCAGCATTAGAGCGAGAAGATCGAAATCCATATTGATCAGAAAGTAAGTTATTAGATTCAAGATAAGAGATTAAGTGTTTGTTAACTAAAGATTCAAAAACTTTGCTTATAATAGGAAAACTAATGGAACGGTAGTTAGACGACTTGGGTCGCTCTCCAGAATTTTTAAAAATAGGGATAAGATAAATAGCTTTTAATATTGTTTATGTGACGTTTATTCAGAAAATATTAAGTTGTTAAAAAAAACATTTAATCACAACTGAATATTTTTGTTAAAGAAACTGGTTAATTAAAAAAAAACAAATAATTTTTGAAAAGATTTTCAATTAAGTATTAAATATTAAATAATAAATTTTAAAAATTAAAAATTTAAATTAACTTTTATAGGAATGTAAAATAGTTTTTAAAACATAGAATATAAAATTTAGTTTTAAAGGAATGTAAAATAGTTTCACAATACTTGTTAAAGAAGGATTTTTTTCTAATCTAATAAGTCTCTATCATTTAAAAATATGTCTCTCTATCAGTTAAAAACATGTGAAAGCTAATAAAATCATTTTAACTTAAAAAAACAGTGAAGTATTTTTGTTTAAGAGAATTCTTCTAACAAATGTTTTTAAAGTTTTTTGTTTCTTATTATTTCAATATCGTGTAAAGTTCATTTGATATTTTTGACTTTTGACTTTTTATCTATGAATTAACAAACAAAAGATTTTGACATTTAAATGACATTCAAAAAGTTATACAAGATTTTTTTTTGAGAGTCTTTTGCCTTTTTTTTTTTTTTTTTAATTACTAACATTAATTTGACCATTCATAGAAAAAAATTGTTTATTTTGTATTAAAATTTTTTATCATCTTTTTTAAAAAAAGATTCTTTACAACATGATCAAAAAATATTTGCAAAACGTTTATTCAATAAATAAGTAGGAGCAAAAGAATAAACATTGTCATAAATATTTCATTCTATCCTCTATTTCATTCTATCCTCTATTTCATTTGACCAGCTTTTACTCTCTCTTTATATATATATAGATTTTATTTTTATTTTGCTTTTTATTACTTCCTAAAAACTTAGATTAAATACTATTAATTAGATTTAGAATTATTTAGTTTTACTTTGTAAATCATTAAGTTTACCTAACACTTCAAGAACTAACAGCAAAAAGGGCACCATGAAAGATTAGAGGAAAGTTATATGCCTAAAAACTGTTATGATTTATGGCAGTGAAATATTGGTAATAAAGGTTGATGATATTTAGTTTCAGGGAAGAGCAGAAGATATAAAAAGCTTATTAAAAAATATTAGGGATGTACCAGAAATTTATCAAAGAGATGTATCAAATTATCAAAGAGATTATAAAACTGTGTATGAGTTGGACAAATATATATATATATATATATATATATATATATATATATATATATATATATATATATATATATATATATATATATATATATATATATATATATATATATATATATATATATATATATATATATATATATATATATATATATATATATATATATATTTGTCCCATTCATACACAGTTTTATAATCTCTTTGATAATTTGTTACTCTTAACAAGCATACAAGCAACCATTACCTAATTTAAAAACTTGAATAGTGGTTACAGAGTTATTGTAAAAGAGCACAAGAATGATTGAGTCAAATTGAACAATCAAGTAAAAAGAGTGAAGAAAATCGAGTAAAGAGCAATAGATCATTTGACAGAAGATTACAGAGTTATTGTAAAAGAGCAAGAGAACAGTTGACAGAAGAAAAACTGTAAATTCTATGAGTCAGAAAATCACAAAGAAATGTTGAAAAATGTAATACCATCAATATGATATGATATGTTGAAAAATGTAACACTATCAATACTAATACTATTAATTTACAAACAAAAGTCAAAAAAAGCAATCAAAGTAACATATGGTCAAATTGAGCAAAGGTTTCTTGATGCAATCAAGCATTTGGTTTGCTTTGTTATAAGCAATAATGGAATATATGTAAAAAGTAATAATACATTAAGAGAGAGGGTTTTGGTTGATAGAACTAGAAATGATAGCTATTTTGAGTAGTGACCATGATAGCATTTTTAGAAAAGAGAAAGAGGTGCACCCATACAACGATGGGAGAGTCGCCTCTTTATTGATATGGTTATATTTATGACTCCTGGCATCTTGGCACTTTACCTGAAAATCTGGAAAAGCAAGGCATTTCCTGTTACAAACGTAAAAATTAAAAGTCAGACATCTATGGAGTGTACCTTTATACTAAAATATTTAAAAAAAATTTTTTTTTCAAATAAATGATATTAGTAATATAAAAATTTTTTATTATTAAGAATATAAAAATATTATTGTTAAATATAAAAATATTATTGTTAAGTGTTTAAAATTTAACATTCATTTGTTTACATTAGTTTCAATAATTTTTAGAATTTTCAGTAATTTTTCATGGATAGATCTCTTTTATTTGAAAGCCACTTTTTATATTTATTTAAAATAGTTACAATTTACATATAATTGTTTTAGTTTTTAATATAAAGATGTTCTTGAATTTACTTAATAAAACCTAGAAAAAAATGATAAAAATCAAAAAGTACCTAGAACTGACTGTATTTATTACTTAGAAATTACTGGGTCAACCAATCAAAATCTAGTTTATTAATAAACATGAATCAAGCAGCAATCTAAACTGAATTTGACTTTAAACAACCTCATTAGAAATTCCTAACAAATGTTCAAATTTCTCAAGAGCTAAATAACAATACCCCAACATAGATTGTTGCTCCTAAGGTTAGCAAAATAGTTTAGGTCTCAAAAGATAGCTTTTTCATCAGAGATGCAAAACTCTGAAAAAAGTTGTATACAGTTTATCATATATGTCAACTTCTAGAGTTTATGCTTACTTTGCTATTGAAACTTTGAAGTGATTGGAATTTTTAAAAGTAGACTTTAAAAGCATTCAACATCTACTACAACTAATAAAGAATGATTTTGTTATTTATAAATTTAACTAAATATAGAATTCTCATTGTTAGTTCTATTATAACTGTAAGATTGTAAATAAATTTTTTTTTACTTCAAATTTTCAAGTTTTGATTTTTTTTCGTTTTATTTTTGTTTGACTTTGTTATAAATATAAATTTAATAATTAAATTTTAATTATAAATAAAATTTTAAGATTATGTATTTTAGTTGTTTAAGAACAATATGGAAGATACTAAAAGTCATGATGTAAATCATAGTAAAAAGTTTGTCAAATTGAAAGACAGTGATGAGTTGAATAATAGCAAAAATTCTTCAATTGATGAAGATGGAGGTAGGTAAAATTTGCAATCAAATGTCTTCTTTTCATATATAATGCTGTTACTGTGAAAACATGATCTAGACGATTAGGAAGCATGGTGTATATTGAGGTTGTGACTTGTTGGTGAGAAATTAAGTGTGAAGTAATTATGATAAGTGTGAAGTAATTATGATGTACTAAGTTTGTTAATTATTTTAATTATGTTGAAAAAATTTTATACATTTTTTAGAGATGAATGTGAGTTAATTATGCTTAGCAGACTTTTTAAAGATTTTTATATTTCAATATTTACTTTATATTTACTTTATATATTTCAAAAACAATATACTCATTAAATAAGGTAGTTGCATATTAGTTATAATTTGTTACTCCTTAATATTTAAAGACATATAGATGTTAATTTTCTAACTCTTCAAACTTTAATAAACTATAATAAGGTTTGATTTGTCATAAAAGTTTTATTGATGTAACATAAAACATAATTGGTTAATGAATGATTTATAAATGATATTAAAATTTTTTATGAGGCAGTTTTAATATAAAAGATTGTTTATTGGGACTTTTCATTTTTATTATTATGAATATAAAAATATTATTGTTAAAAATGCCTGAATTAAAAAAATTTTCATTTATTTAGATTTTTTTTTCCATTGTTTTTGTTTGAGGTTGTTGTAATGTAATATCAGTAAATATTGACATGATTTTTTTTGTTTGCTTTGTTTATCCAAAGTATGAAAGTTGTAATGTTTGCCCAAGTGTTTAAAATTTAACATTCAGTAAGACATTTTATTGGGATGTTTTTTTTTCTAGATTGCATATTTTTAAAATTATAAAGGTATGGCTATGGTTATAATATATAACTATAATATATATATATATATATATATATATATATATATATATATATATATATATATAAACACACAGCTTATATATATATATATTAAATATATATATATATATATATATATATATATATTTATATATATATATATATATATATTAAATATATATATATATATATATATATATATATATATATATATATATATATATATATATATATATATATATATATATATATATATATATAAGCTGTGTGTTTATATATATATATATATATATATATATATATATATATATTATGTTGATCCCGTAATTTTTTTTTTAGTTTTGTAAACAATCCTACTAAAAAAGTTTTTTATTTTTATTTTTTGTATTTAAAGTATATTTGTTTAAGTTGTAAGTAAAGCCACAATTGTCCTCCTCTAACCACAATTGCACCCCTCTAGCTGGGCTTGGTTAAAGTAAATAATGACATTTATAGAAGTTAAATAACTAATATTTTTTGTGCATTGTTTTTTTTTTTTAGGATAATTACAAAGGAAGAGTAAAAAATTGTATTTTTATTTTATAACAGATTTCTTTTTGTCATATTAAATACAAAAACAGTTAAAAGAAAATAGCATAACTTTTTAAGCTGCTGATTACACAAAATATTAGCTCTCATTTTTAAACTTTTGATGAAGTTTGTATAGGAACCAGTAATCTGAACTGATTATTAATGTTAAAAAAACTGTTTAGTTTATTATGTTATATAATTTTTTCTATTGTTATATTTTCTATTATTTACACATGAAACTGAAATTCAACCTTAGCTTAGTAATCAACCTTAGCATCAGATAATACATTTTGTTTAGAGGTGTAATACATTTTGTTTAGAGTTTTTTTTTTTTTTTTTTTTTTTTTTTGAAAAGATGGAAGAAATAATTAAAACTAGAAACAAACAGCTCCACAAGAAAGAGCAAACCATGGGATAGAGTGAGGCAAGACTTCAATTCAACAAGAATGAATAAAAGCTTCCATAGCCTGATTTCATGAGAAATAAAGATTTCATAATGAAAGACATCAGCCCAAGAATCTTCTAAAATCAAAGAGTGAAGGTAAGTGATTTGGGTCATAAAATATCTGAGTATGAGATTGAGGAAGATAAAAATCAGCAAGGCTGGTGGTGTTAGAGCTTTACTATTCAGTTTAATTTTCGTAACAATATTTGCTGAGGGGTAAATGAATAGTGCTTGGTCAATTTGATTAAAAACAACATCAAAAAGAGAGTGCTAAAAGTATATTCTAGTGTATAAAGACTTTAGTGTTTAGGAGTATACTGGGAAGTAGGAAACTAATAAAGAACAAAAAAGAATGGTGATTGAGCTAAGAGATCTAAAAAAAGGTCAACCTAGTGTTCATAAAAAGCAAATTTATATAAAAATTTCGGAAAAATCAATTTCTTATATAATAATTATCATTTTATTAATTAAATTACAGTTGTTTTTTTAAACTAAAAATATAAAAAGTTTAAAAAAAAAAAAAAAGTATATATATATTTTTTTAAGCAATTATTATTTTAAAAAATCCTATAATATTTTCATTCTAAATTTTATGCTGCTATTGCTGTCATTACTCATTTTTGAGTGTTTGATATGGAAGTCACGGCAGCCATTACACCCAACTTAATGGCAAACTTAATGCACTTAATGCAGCACTTTTTGTATTAGAAAATGTGAACAAAAGTTCAAATATCTAACTTATATCAAGTTTTACAGTTTTACTTTAAAATTGAATTGTGACAATATTTCCTTAATTTTGATTTATACCATTTATTTGCTGTTTTATAAAGATATTTATTTATTGAATAGTATAGTTTTATAAAGACTTTAATTTGTTGTTTATATATAAAAATATAATAACTACAACAAACAAAAAGGAAAGAGTTTTTATAAAGCTTAAAATTGCAATAAACATCAAAGCAGCAGTATAAATTATTTAAATTATTAATGAAAATAATGTTTATTTGCATCAAAATTAAATACAAAAAGGTGAGACAGGTAATCACAAGATTATGCTTAGGTAACACCACCAAAAAAAATTAGTTTATAAATAAAGTAATTAGACAGAGATAATTACAATAGAAATTAATATAGTACGCAATTGCGTTGTAAATCATAATTATTTTACTTTCTTTTGAACATTGATAAATAAGGAAAATTATCAATGTCAGCTGGTAATTTTTCGTTGAAGAAGAATTTACGACAATCAGGCTTGGTCGGGAAGCGGGAGCGATCGCTCTCGAATATTGACCAAGGATATTATATTTGGTTGCAAAAAACTGGCCAGGTTTTTTAGTTGTTTTGAGAACATTTAAGTTTATGTACAAAACAAACATTTTTTGTTTAACGGACATACATAGAAATATAAAAAACTTAAATGTTCCTAAAACATCTTGGTACGAAAGAATAAAAAGAATATTCGCAAACACTAAAAACCCGCCAAATTAATGAACAAACTAATTCTATTGGTTCAAAAAATACGCTGACTAAGCGAAATAAAGTTCTAGAGTATTCTGTTGAAATGTTTTAGAAATTGTATTATTCACGGTTTGTTACGTTTTGAGATTTCTAGCATAAATTGTTATAAGAATATATATTATTTGTTTACAAAAATAAATGTTTTAAATATATATTAATTAAATTGTCAAAATTTTAAAAGTTTATTATAAATTATTGATTTTATTAGTATATTCTTATTTTTTTATTAAAAAGTATGTATTCTTTATGCAAATGTAATTTTGTGTATCTGTTTTTTATCGCAATGTATCTTTTAAAGCAATTTTTATGATTTAAACAGACTTACAAAAATAATTGCGTTTTTAATGAAGTTATAATCATTAAAATTAATAAAACTAATTATGTAACAAACATATAAGAAGTTTTTGATTACTAAACACAAACAACGCATACAAAGTAACTCGCTGATAAACAAGCACCGCGCCGGAGTTCTTGACAGAACACAAATATATGTAGCAAATAACTAAATAGAAAAGTTTCTAGATATTGGTTTACTAGCTCTAATTATTTTCGCTTAAGTTGCCCTTCTTAAAACTCGTTATACTTTTTTCTGCTTTAAATATTAATTAAAATTAAAAAGCCCACTCACTAAACATCATCAGCGATATTGTGAAGCAGTTTCCCTTTCTCCTCATAAAGTATTTTTAACCTTTTTAGTTGATTTCTTTCTTGTTAATTTAATTTCTATAGTAATTAAATGATTTAATTATTTCATTTGTTTATCTTACTAAGAAGAATTGCTTCAAATATGTTAAACTTTTCAAACCACACGAAACATAAAATAGGTATTAAAAAAAATAACTTTTTTTATTTATAAAATAATTTAGCTTAAATAAACTTAAACTTGCAAACTTTGTTAAATAAAGAATATTTGTTTCCTTTTTAAACAATCGTAAGATGTTACTTCATATAAAAAACATCGCTTAGTTTTATGAAAAAAATTATAAAAGAGCGATGTTTCGAAAATATTTGTTCTAAACGTAATTTATTTAGCTTTAAGTTTTTTTGCGTTTAAAGATATTTTATTTGCCTAATTTTTTTTTTTTTTTTGTAATTGTTTCTCATCGGTCCAATTAATCTTTGCGCTTTTTTTTGTTTTTTTTTGTTTTTTAAAATGTTCTCAAAATGACTAAAAAGTCTGGCCAGCTTTTCACAACTAAATATTATTTACGTGGTCAGCAATCGAGAGTAATCGCTCCTGCTTCCAGGCCAAGCCTGGACAATCAGTTATGCATATATTGCGTGATATAAATTTTTTAGTGTAGTATCTAGTATTTTAGTGAGAGTTGGAAAAAGTAAAGAGATTGGAAAAAGATAAGTTGACGAGATGGTGTATAATTTTGTATACCATCACAAGATCAAATTTAAATCTACAGTATTCAAGAGAATTGAGATT